GACGAGAGAGGCTTCGCGATCGTAGATTAATTATCGCGCGGCTTAATTCGATGATGAGGGATCGCGGGAGGTCGGTTGATTCTTCGTTGTCCTTTTTCGTGCTGGTTGTTGTATCTGTTCGAGGCCGTGCCGGCGAGTAACAACGGCGTGCTGGTATTAAACACGAAGCTCGTTGTAATCGTGCGTTATTTTCTAAGCACTATCGATGTTAGGTAGAGCCGCTTCCCGGTGCCCTCGACGCGCGTCGAATCACACCTAGCTGTATGAAATATGTTAATATGCTGCAAAAATAATTAGAGGATCACTTTCTTAAAGAGCGGTAACATCGTTCAAAAGATTTTGAAAATTTATTTTAATAACTAAGTCAATCGCTGTGAGAAAAGACCGAATGAAAAACGTCAATCATTTCTTGAATCGGGAACATCGTGGATTTGCTTGAGAACAAAGTTTAATTTTTAAAAATTTGGAAATAGGTCAAATAGTCTTCGCGATATCCAGAGATTATTACAAGAGATATTACTTCTTACACTGTGAATCTTTTTTTTTTTTTAAATCTAGTTTAGGTAATTTTTGTCAATGATAATTAAGATTAACTGAAAAATGCAATTTATGTTTTTATCATATTTTTTTTATGTAGATATATTTACTTTTGAAATATGACTTGGCAAAGTGCGCTAACTTTGTTAATAGATATATAAACTCATTACATATATTGATGAAATAAGCATTTTTAAAAATCTCAGGAATATTATTGCGCAATATAGGCTTCCAACAATGCAAATTCACCAATGATACACAATAAGAATTCAATGATTCACGAAAGATTAATCATCTTATTATTCTTTAGTTTTTAGTAAATATGTATATTTATATGAACAACGATATTCTTTTTAATTCTTTTAATAAGCTAGTATTTGAACTATTCATTTAAAGCAGTGATCTCCTCATTATTTTTGAGCAGTATATAATCTAATCGTTGATTTAACGATCGTCGAGACACTCGTCGCGGATATGCGTTTTAATTTTTTATGTGCCGCATTATTAAATTAACAGTGTGAACGTACTCCATCTATTCCTTCGAATAGAATTCGACTTAACGCTTTGATGACAGGGCGACAGCACCAAATTCACACAAATCTTATTCAAATATACAATGTTTAATTATTTATTTATTAATTGCAATGATACAGTTCCATTCTTGTAAGGTCGCATCTTCAAATTTCATTAATTTGAATATCAATTGCTTTTCATAATCTATTTGACTGATTTGTTTTTGCAAGCTGAATTTGGGACACCATAAGCAAACCGAAATAGAATGATAGAATTAGAATGATAAAAAATTCACTTGTTTCTGTTTCATTATATGATTCTTTATAATACAATAAGGGAAAGTACGAAGGAATTTTTTTCTATCCAGTTAATATTTAAAACGATCACGTCGTCACTGCATTAAGTCACCGAATAGTGGGAGTATCTGAGCAGGAAAAGGAAAAAAAATAAGAGTAGATTCGAGTTTTGCTCGGATTCTAACGTTTTTCTCGTTCCTAGACTTCACGGAACTGCAGTTAGCTATTTGCGCGATGTGATACATTCTTACTTTTTCTATTTCTTTTCTTTTATTATATATATATATATATATATATACGTATATACGTATATATCTACTAAATACATTTTTCTTCGAACTGCTTGCGAACGTGTCTCTCTTGCAGCTTCGTATGTCTATAAATTTCTCGTATTCTACTCGTGCATATTTCGGTACACACTCTTGATACGTAACACGAGTTTTACGCTACGTTCTAGTGCGAGTTTCGTCCTACGGCTGGACACGTGTGATGCGAAACCTTCCTCTTCTCCAAGTTAATTTCGAGACGACATCACGACGGTCTCTCTCTTGTGTATCCGGCGACGTTTCTTTTTCTTGAAATGTAGATCTTTCGAAGTATAATCCCGGAATACAGTCGTACGGACCTGCGAAAGGGTTTGAAGCTCGTCATTACAACCCGCGGAACCTGTGTTACGCATCGTAGAAGTCTGTTATTGTACCATTCTATAATGTTACAAATTACCTCCACCGTTTCCCGTGGATGTACAATCCTGGGCGAGCATTTTTACATATGCCGGAGAACCGTTCTAACAAATCAGTATTCCCTCGACTTCAAAGTCCCGTAGGATTGTGTACCGATCTATCGTTTTTATGTCACTCCTGTAATAATAGAAATCAGGTGTTTTTTGGAAATGTGAATCAATTTTTAAAAATGTATGAATCGATAAATAAATAATGCATGGCATAAAGAGTAACTCGACATCTTTCATATTTCTCTACGCGATAATTGTTTTATGAAAAATCCGTATCCTACATAGATATAATTGAAATATTGTCCTATCATGTTGAAAAAGAAATACGAAAAGTCTAATATGATTTCTCTATCTTGCTTATGTCTCCAACAATTTTGAAAATTCTTGATAGTCAAACGAAACATTTACATTATTATATAATTTTAGGAACTGTGATTATTATATAATTTTAGTCAATCTTAAAAAACTTTCAGAAAGTTTCTCTATAAATTGTTTAAAAAAATTATATAATCATTTAGAAATTTTTTTAACTTCAGAAAAATAAAACAGAAACAGAAACCGTGACAATCAAAAAATAATACTCAACAATATATTAAAGAAAATTAAAGAAGATTTAAAATCGGTTATTCTATGCCTCGCTGCAACCGATTTGAAGTGATTTCCACACACGCGGTTTGCTCCTGATTGGCTTTGACGAGACGCCGCATGCAGCGCGGCAAATAAAAAGAGAGGGATTCATGAAGGCGGATGGGTTTGTTTAGACTACTATTAAAGCTTCTAGATCCGGGTCCATCCAAGAAAAACTCTGGAACATAGGGTGTTTTCAGTGAAAAATTTTTGCTGGCGGTATTCGACCAGAGAATCCAACAAGAGAATTGCAGGGTCTCGGAAGATGAC